TACGGACGGTTACAAGACAGTTACACGGTTATTGAAACTTCTATCACAATTCGATGGGTAACAAACAATAATATAATGGGAGGAAATGGCAATGACATGATGGGAAACTATGATGATATAATGGGGAATAATGGCAATGACATGATGGGAAACTATGATGACACAATGGGGAATAATGGCAATGACATGATGGGAAACTATGATGATATAATGGGGAATAATGTCAATGACATGATGGGAAACACTGATGATATAATGGGGAATAATGGCAATGATGTAATGGGAAACTATAATGATATAATGGGAAATAATGGCAATGACACGATGGGAAACTATGATGATATAATGGGGAATAATGGCAATGACACAATGGGAAACTATAATGATATAATGGGGAATAATGGCAATGACAAGATGGGAAACACTGATAAGATAAATGGGGAATAATGGCAATGACAGGATGGGAATCTACTAGACTACTGTGAGAGCTTGACAGCTGACAGGGAAGGCAGGTGCAAACACTTACTGAGCTGGAAAGTCAGGTGCACACACTTACTGAGCTGGGAAGACAGGTGCAAACACTTACTGAGCTGGAAAGACAGGTGCAAACACTTACTGAGCTTCTCTCATGTACATCAGCTGATGGGATGGCATAGTCCACATGGTTTTGAAGATGATACTAATGTGATATCTGATAGTAAACTTGTCATAGAACTCATTGCTGGCACCCGTCGTTTCAACGTCTGAAATGGAAAAAAGCCATAAAAAAACTGAGAAATCATTATATATTCTTCTTTTTTTTGGTGTTTAGCAACTGTAAACTCTGGCAGAACGTTCTGGTTATTGATCCACTTCTGGACCAGAACTTGAAACTTGCATGCACATCCGTTTTACAGATGCCAACTTACTGACATGCAGACTTTTGGTTCCATGCAGCTCAGGCAGATATAAGCTCCGACTTCAGAGAGAAAAAATCCCTTATTAGTCACCTTTTATGAGCGGACTGTTAAGGAAGTCAGTTCAAGGTCAGTTCTCAACACCCATTGCCCACAGCTGGGCTCCTCATTGCCCACAGCTGGGCTCCTCATTGCCCACAGCTGGGATCAAAATTTGCATCCTAAAATTATGAAGCGTGTTTGCAACGTCTAAGCCACAAATGTTGAGAGAAATAACTAAATGTCAAGAAATTATTAGCTTATTTGGCTGAATACAGCTAAGGACACAAGCACAACCCTAAACAGCTTGGCTGTTAGGTTATACTTCTAAAGGTGATGTTGTGGCCTTAGCAACAAATAGGAGATGGTCAAAGGCAGAATACCTGTGCACAAATCTTCTTTTTCTTTGTGTTTACTGACTGTGAACTGTGGCAGTAAATTCTGGTTGTTTGTCCACTTCTTGACTTTAGTTTTTTGTTCTAGAGTACATGAGTGAATCTTCATGTGTGGTTTACTGTATACAACTGGTGGAACACAAATATTGAAATACCTCTCTCTTCAAGAGTTGAGTTGAGTCAAGAATTGACATCAGAGCACTCAGAGCATTCCCATATGCGCTCTGTCCTCATCTCCAGCAACCAGCACAGAGTTCCAATACTGATGGTACCAGTCACAATCTGGTTATTTGTCCGCCTTGCCTTTCCTCTGAGTGTAGTGAGCCGGCCAGACCCTCTGGTTACACCCAGGGTGCCTCATTCTCTCCAGGGTATAATAATCTTGTTTCTCTACTGATTCGGTTGCTTGTTCCCAAAGGGCCTTAACTACATCTGCCTTGTCACGTATCTCTTCAAGAGTGAACTGCCATGTCTGGAATCTTCTTTATTTCTTTTCTACAGACCTTGTTCTGCCTTTCAGCATCAGGTCTTTAAGAGGCATCTGATGCAAACATTGGTGTATGCATTTAGATGCTAGTGTTCATAGCTTTCAATACTCCGTGTATCCTTCGCTTGTGTAGGTGACCTCTGGTTCTGCTTCCGTTGTGTCTAAGTGACAGGGCTTAATGAGGGGTACTATTCCGTGGCAGTCTTGATACATGTCCAAACCATTTTATCTGTTATCTCTTGATTTAGTTTAGCACTGGTTCTATCCCAGCCTGTCTCCTGATATTGTCATTTCTGATCCTGTCTTTTTTTGTTACATTCACAAATTGCCTCGGACATTTCATTTCTGTTGTTTCACTTTTTTCTATTTCCTTTTGATGTTAATGTCCACATTTGGCACTAGGTAACGCACTACTGGTGAGACTACTGTACAGCTTTTTGAGTGTCAATTTGTACATGGTTATTACGCAGTATTAGCCACGACAAATGTCCAATGATTTTTATTCCCTTTGTTACATTTTTATTCTATCTCTGCCTCTATTATTCGCTGGAAGATATTCTTAGATACTTGAAATCTTTTACTTGCCTGATTTGTGATTGCTATAAAAAAAATTTTTTAAAGTGTCAATTTTCATACTTTAGCTGCTGTGTTCAGATTATTTAGCAAGTATGGGTTAACTAACACACACACAACTGTCACTACTCCCTGTATTTCCCATCTGGTGGTGTAGGGACGGGTGGATGGGGGGGAGGGCCTGAGTATTTAAGGTAACATGGGCTAGTGCAGTCACCACGAAGTGTGCAGGTTATGATTGTTATTTTATTTTGCACCCAACAGAAAGTAGAAATACCCATCCCTCACCAAGGCTGGAACCCCTGAACTCTAAGAAGACAAACCATTCTAACCATTAGGTTAGCCGCAGGTGCGCAAGTGTGGGTTACCTGTGTAAAATTTCATCAACGAGGGTACAAGGTTGTCGACTGCCACGTCGGACATCAGCAGCTCCAGGTTGACCTGCTCGGTCTTGGGCTGGATACTAGGCTGCAGGACGAACAACACCTCCACCAGCTTGGCTGTCAGGTAGGGATTGCGCAGGTAATTCTGGGAGCACAGCATCACCAACAGCAGTCGCAGCATCAGCTTGTGCTCTGGTTCCACGATTCCTAGTGGCATTACCTAGATGTACAATACAGCATATACCTGAGGGATGTACAAATAGACCCACTGCCTCCCCAAAAACGTAATAATGGGGAGCTTCCAATTTTGAAGTATTCTTTACCAGCAGTCTGCATTTTTTTTAAAAAATCATCAGGTCATGCACAGAATTACGTACTCACTTTATCAGTTTACAGCCGGTGATCAGTTTCCCATCATGTTATTTAAATCCCATTCTATCATATCATTCATCATGTTATTCCCCATTCTATCACTGTTGTTTTTATACCATGTCATCACATTATTCCCCATTCTTTTGTTGTTTCCCATCATGTCATCACATTATTCTGCATTCTATCATCGCTGTTTCCAATCATGACATCACATCACATTTATGTTTCCATTCATCACCATCATATCATGTTTCCCCCATCATCATATCACCATTGTTTCCCATCATATCATCACCATCACTGTTTCCCCATCATGTCATCACCACCATTTCCCATCACATCATCACCACCATATCATCACCGTTTCCCATCACATCATGTCATCACCACCGTTTCCCATCACATCATCACCACCATATCATCACTGTTTCCCATCACATCATCACCACCATATTATCAACATTTACCATCATGTCATCGTTTAAAAAAAAAAATCATTTCATCAACATTATATCATCACAAAAACACACTGTGTGTAAGATTACAGTACAGCGTAATGAAAAAAAAAGTTAAGAACAACATGCCGCAGACATCTACTTACTGGAGCACAAAGAGAATAAAATCGGCCATATCCTCTAGGTAAAATTCCGGTAGCGCAGAATAGTAGTCTGGAATTTCTGTCGGGAGAGGCACTACAGAGCTGCAAGCAAGAAACAAGTTTTACTGTGGCCCGTGTTAAATACAGTACAATAAAGTAACAACGCAGGATCATTTTCAAGGTTTTGGCACATTTGGCATTGTGCTAGAGCCAAATTATTTTACAAGTCAATTAGCATTTGATGGGTGATGTGGGGAATATAATGCCAGTTGTCTTTACTTCTTCTTTCACTTCCACTTTTGCTGCTTCAGGTGTTAAAGGAGATATTATAAGTTGCTTCTTCCTGCTCTTCTGACCACCTCCACTACAGACATAGTGCTAATATATAGTTTCACTGATGTTATCTTTCATCTTGTTCTTAGTCTACAGTGCGCTCCACATCCTTCCCCTCTTTTAATACTACGTGCTGCAAGCCTGTCCCCTCTTTCAGTGTATGCCTTGTTAAGGTATGGCATCACAAGGCATTCACTTTAAGTTGGCAAACCATTTGATTTGCATGTAATTGTAAAAGTAAATATAATTTAGAATTGGTTCTGTGCCATATTTTTTCTCCTAATGCTTGATTTTTATCTTCTCTGGTCTCTTTACTTGCCAGGAATTTTCTTGATATTCAATACAATGCGGACACAAACAGTACATTACAAAATTTATTGCCATGTATAATTTGATGTATCTCATCAAGTGCTAACTACAGAATTAAATCAACAGATAATGAAGCCAAAAAAAAAAAAAAAAAAAAAAAAAAATTTAACTGAAATACAAATGGTCTCTCTTGATACATTACTAGCCTAATCTATGAAAGTTCATGACAGTCACATGACTTGCCAGGGAAACTTCAAATTTGTATTCTTCTTCTTCTCCTCCTTGTTCATCTGTAAACTTCAGTGGAAAGCTCTTGTTGGGAAAAGACCCCTAATTAGTCGACTTTTAACAAATGCTTGTTGGGGGCAGTGGCCCCCCCCCCCCACCCACCCCCACTGGGACCCAGAACCCACACAGGGAATGCCACACACAAATAGTACCCAGCATCTAGAAGCAGATGAACAATTCTGCACTTCACTATGGTAAGGTCATTTGTGTCTGGGGCTTAGGCACTGTGAATGCATTTCTAATTCCCAAATAACTGGTTCGATTCAGTTGCAGGTGATCTGGCAGCAGACTGCTTCTCACTGATTTTGACAAAGGTATAGAGTGCTGACCATTCAGTAAAATACTGGAAAGTGAATAGTAAATAATAATTTTAAAGTCAAGGAATGGATGGACATGGATCTCTGAAATCATATGGATACAGATCCCTGAAATGATATGGATACAAATCCCTAAAACGATATGGATACAGATCCCTGAAACGATATGGATACATATCCCTGAAACAATATGGATACAGATCCCTGAAACAATATGGATACATATCCCTGAAACAATATGGGTACAGATCCCTGAAACAATATGGATACAGATCCCTAAAACAATATGGATACAGATCCCCAAAACAATATGGATACAGATCCCTGAAACAATATGGATACAGATCCTCGAAACGATATGGATACAGATCCCCAAAACAATATGGATACAGATCCCTGAAACAATATGGATACATATCCCTGAAACAATATGGATACATATCCCTGAAACAATATGGATACATATCCCTGAAACAATATGGATACATATCCCTGAAACAATATGAATACATATACCTGAAACAATATGGATACATATTCCTGAAACAATATGGATACAGATCCCTGAAACAATATGGATACATATCCCTGAAACAATATGGATACATATCCCTGAAACAATATGGATACATATCCCTGAAAAAATATGGATACTGATCACAGAAAGAACATCATACCATCTATTGACTGGGTCAGCTATCCGCATCAACAGGTCGGCAGTGCGGCTGTAAAATGAAAGACATCTGACCAGCATATCCTTGTCCAAAACTCCAGCGTCTGCACACATTTTGCTCTTCTGAAGTCTCTGTACACAAGAGGGGGAACACAAAACAACTTATACTGAATCATACACGGGTTTGACACATGCTGGGGGGCATTCATGGGTATATCAGTATGTCTGTTGGTAAGTGTTTGTGTGCATGCAAGTGCAAGTGTGTGTATGAGCGTAGGCTGTCAAAAACAAGAAAATAAAACTCAAGGCACGTGATCTTTAATAAACAAAATTTTAAAAAAAGACACTGGATGGGTGAGGTGGTCAACATCACACCAGCTGCCTTTATTTCCTAGGACATTTCCTAATAACTAGACTGATCATCGCAGAGAACTGGCTCACAAACAGAATCCTGTCCTGAAAGCTGAGGTATTCTGGTCAGAAAAAGAGTCAGAGGTAGACCTCCCTGAATGTGGATACAAGACATGGAAAATACACTGCCTATGAAGGCACAGAGGGCTGGAGAATTGGCTAGAGAAAGAATGAACAAACAACCTTCATTTTCAAAAGGTCACAAATTGGGCATGTAGGCCCGTATACATTCGGCCCTTCCAAACTCCTATCTTTCACACAGCCGTTGTGTTTGTATTTTTAAAAAATCAATTCAGCATTTTATGTTCATGTAATAATATGCATATTATGAATATCAAGCAAAAACACAAAAGCGTGGGTGGTAAAATGCATGCAAACGCTCGTGTGCGCACACATACACACAAAAACCTACTCACTCACTTACATACACATATGCACTCACATACATACATACATACATACATACACTCATACACACTCTCACAACACACACAGACGCATACAGACACAAACACGCGCGCAATGATAGACCCTCAGGCATGCCAGGACGACAGCGACGTTCTGTGAAGGACCTGTTGACTGACAATTATTTTAGGTGAGTCGAAGTTAGAGCCCACGGTGATCTCTGATGTCCCTAGCCAATGACAAGCTTACCTGATACTGAGACTTCCATCGCTTGAGCTGTTCCCGACTTCTGGCGGCTGACGGCAAGTTCTTCCATTGAGGCTCAGCAGCCTCCATGTCAGAGATCAGCTTGTGAAGGTCGCGAATGGCTCTCAAGCGCCGCTGGTATTTCCTCGTCACAGGAAGAATGGCCAGGTGGTGGCAGTGGAGGGTTAGAAAGAAGCATTCCGTTGAGAATTTGACCTCACTTTTAGGTTTTTGACCTGCAAATCATTAAAATTTGACAGGTAAACAATTAACTTACAAATCTGTCACTTACCTCAATCATAGGGATAAAAACATGAATAACCAATATGAAAAGTAATCAGTTAGCCCCAGTCGATAAGAGACATTGCTTTCAAATCCAGCTGCGACTAGCTGCAGCCCACTGGCGGTCTCCCGGGGTTTACCCAGCCTCTAGGTAATGGGTACCAGAGTTAACACTCTGGGGTAAATGGAGGAAGATCGCTGTAGCTACAGAGTTACGTGTGGACGGCGACACTGGTGGACAGTTTCTTATCAGCTGTCCGTACTGGTGGCAGAGCATTTATGGTTTATAACCATGTGCAATGACGCTGGTTCACATCTCCCGACTTTACCTTTACCTTTTATTAACAACACAACAATTACAAAAAGTAGACAAAATATACAGTTGGCTATAAGTTAGACAAAAACATAAAACACACAATTATCCAGGGGACAGACAATACATACAACTAGCTATGTTACATACAAGACTGAAAATAAAGCTTATCCATTCTGTAGATAAATACAGAACATGCCCAGCACTTACTGATCTCTTTCTGCCATTCCTCCACTTCTTGCTCTGTGAACCTCATTCTAGATTTCCCCACGAGACTGACTCGATTCTCATAATGGAATGGATAGTAAATATCAATCTGGAAACAAAAAACATCAGACAGACATTTACAAAATAATTAACCAGCTTTGACATTGTTCATAGAGTTGCTGAGCGTTCAGCCAGGAACTGACATAAAAGCACTACAGGACATTCCCATAAGCATTCTGTCCTCATCTTCAGCAACTAGCAAAGAGTTCCAATTCTGATGGTAACAGTAGCAATTTGTCTTTCCTCCAAGTCTAGGGGGCTGCATAGTCTCAAGGCAGAGGTTCTTGGTTCAATCCCCGGTAAGGGCTGGGATTTTTTCATGTCGACTTGGACTTCTAGTAATTCCCCCTAGTCTCTGGGTAGTGAGATAGGATGCCTGTGTGCATTGTTGCGTACGTAAAATAAATCCCTTGGCAGTTGGAAATCGAAAAGAGTAGCCTAACGGCACTGCCCAGGCAAAATTTAGAGTTAAAAATCTACCCAAAGTATTTTAGGATCCTCGCCGATGCTACAGAGCCTGTGCAGACTCAGACTTGAGTTAGAAGTAGAATGGAGCACTTGTGGGTTGCTCCCCGTGTGCCATGATGTTGATCCGTTGTTCAAAACCTCAAACCTAAGTCTCGACCAGATCCCCTGGCCACTCCTAGCTGTATGATTCTATCCAGACAATAATAATAATCTTTGTGTGTGTCTGTTGTTCACTTGCTCTCCACATCCAGCTTGTTATAAATTCAGCAACTACTGGCACAGAACCAGCCAATCTGCCTGCTTGTTCATTCCCCAAAAACCCTGCATGTCGTTTACAAATAAATATAGAAATAAATGTGGTCTGATCCCTGCTTATTGACCCAAAATGTTTACTGCCTAAATGCAGAGTTCTCTTTAAAAAAAATTAAATCTCAGCTTCCAGGTCAACATAGCTTAAAATCTGTATCAGGAAATGACCTGGAAGATAAAGGCGACCAGCCTTTTTAGATATGATTATCTCAGTTAGATAGCTGACCTCCCTGTGTAGTTTCCGGAGCCTCATTTTGGGGAGAAGAAGGACAGACCCACAGCCCCTTAACAAGCATATCACATCATCATCATGTGCCCTGTCGACTGGCATCGGCGCTCATGCATCTATCCAGATCACGATCCCTGGTTGACTGGAACAGCTCTCTTGATGATATCCCTCCATGCCATCGTTACAGCAAAGCCAGCATCATCTCTCTTGGTCTGCCTCTACCCCTTTTCCCACTGATCTTGCCAGTTGTCGCAATGTTCTCCAATGTCTCTCCTCATTATGTGGCCAAAGAAGAGTGTTTGTCTCTTTCTCATTGCAAATCACAACAGTCGACTAATTAGGGATGTTTCTTTTCAAGTTGGAGTGCATCTGCCTCAGAGGCGAGGAAATAACAATTCTGAACACAAATAAGCCAGATCTATAAAACAGATGTGCAAGCAAAACTCAGAGTCAGGAACCAGACTAACATCCAGAAGTGAACAAACAACAACCACAACTTTTGTCGGAGTTTACAGCCAGTGAACAGCAATAAGATGAAGACAGATAAACGTTTTTAACACCAAAGGCACTGAATCTAGATCACACGTTACAAAATGAGGGGGTTACACTGGTTTCGGCTAGAAATGGGTAGGAAACATCTTATGCTCACCCCCACCTCCCAATATCTTCTTCTTCTTCTTCGCGTTCACCAGCTGTAAACTCCGGCGGAAGGTTCTGGTTGCTCGTCCACTACTGAATTGCAGTCCTGTTCCAGAACCTGAGTGTTGTGTGTGCATCAGTTTTACAGATCTCATTTTCATGAATACAGACTGTTGGTTCCTTGCCTCTCCGGCAGATGCACTCCGACTTCAAAGGAAGCTCCCCAATTAGTCGACTCTTACGACATGCTTTTGGGGTGGCAGTGGGTCTATTCTTGTTTTCCCCACAATGGGGCCCCAGAACCCACACGGGGGGACCTCCCAATAGATACTGCGACTGCATTTAATACGTTTTAGCAAGAAATGGATATTGTGGATACATATGACATGTTTGAATGAGAAATGGAAATTGTGGGTACAACTTACACGTTTAAACAAGAAATATATATTCAAGATACATCTGATGTCTCAAGAAAACAAAGAAATGATTTGTGTGTGTGTGTGTGTGTGACAAATCTGAACAAAAAATGGATAGTATGGATACACATGGCATGGTATAAATTATGGATACATCTGACATGTGTGAACAAGGCATAGATATTGTTGACCCATCTTGTTAAAACTAAATTTCACTGACGCACCTGACATGTTTGAACAGGAATAGGATACTGCGGAGACAACCAACAAGAAATGGATATCACGGATACATGTGACATTCCTACTAAACCTCATATGAGAAAACATTGACTTACTTTATGCAGATCAATCTTCTCTGAAAGCTTCTGTAGGACGGACATGAGATTTAACATAAAACCATCCCCACACAGCAGCCTTTCGTCAAACTGTGAGAGAGAAACGTTAGACCTTACAAGTGTAAAACACAGACAGTAAATATAATGTCAGATATTACATGTGTAAAACAGACAGCAAATATAGATATTACATGTGTTAAACAGACAGCAATTATAGACATTACATGTGTTAAACAGACAGCAAATATAGACATTATTTAGATATTATATAGATATTACATGTGTAAAACATAGACAGTAAATATATTGTTAGACCTCACAAGTGTAAAACACAGACAATAAATATAATGTTAGAAATTATATGTGTAAAACATACAGAAAATATTGACATTACATGTGTAAAACAGACAGTAAATATAATGCTGGACCTTACATGTGTAAAACACAGGCAGTAAATATAATGTTGGACCTTACCTGTGTAAAACGGAGAGTAAATATAATGCTGGACCTTACAATTGTAAAACAGAGAGTAAATATAATGCTGGACCTTACAATTGTAAAACAGAGAGTAAATATAATGCTGGACCTTACATGTGTAAAACAGACAGTGAATGTAACAAATATGCCATGTTTCTCAAAGGTCTCAACTTAAAAAAAAAATACAGCAAAAACTTCATGCTTCTTAACTGTCATCTCTTATAAAAACAGCAGACTTTCATGATTCTCAAATGTCATCACTTATAAAAACAGCAGACTTTTCTGTGTTTCAAATGTTATCACAAAATAAACACCTGACTTTCACCCACCTCAAATATCGAGTTTTGAAAAGGAAAAAAAAAAACAGCGGGCTTTCATGCAAACAAGAACAGCAGACTTTAACATATAACAAATGTCATCAACTATAATAAAGCAAGGATGTTAAGGACATTTGGGGTGCAATGAAAGAAGTGTGGGTGGGGGTGCAGTGCTTAATATTATTGTAGAATGTAAGTATGTTTTGGAGTTTTCTAATTAAAGATTAAATTAGAAATAAAATGACAAAAATCTATAAACACAAGCAGTGAAGACAAATAGACTACAGATGAAATGTCTCATAATTTGAAATTAAGGGAAAATATCTGACAAGTGAACAAAGAAACAAATAGAATTTAAATCTGAGTAAGTGAAAATAAGGCGAAATGTCTGGTTATGGGAGCAAAGAAATTAACAAACAAATGAAAACTCAATCAGATAAAATGACTGACTGACTGACTTTCTACCCCACCAGGACATCACACTAGTGATAAACACCCAATGACACAATGTGCTACCGTGTGGATAAGGATCGCCGTGGAGAGGTCTCAGAAACCGTGCCCAGCCATTAGGCCATCATTATGGCCTGGCTTTATTGCGGCACCTGCAAGAGCCAGGGTGGGGCTTCAAATAACGAAAAATTTCATCCTAAAAATGAGGGTGAATATGATGTTATGCAAACACGTTGTAGATAAAATGAAATAATGTCCGAACATTGACAGAAAGAATAGATTAACACAAACACGAGTAATAAAAAATGAAATAAAGGTGAAATTTTTTTAATGAAAAAACAAAGAAAAAAAAAATTAAATAAAAAGGAACACAGAAGCTGAAATAAATGTGAAAATGCATCCATCAACAAACAAAAAGTGAACCCAAACAAAAGCAGGGAAGAAGAAGACTGAAAGAGTCCGGCCAAAAATGTGATTTAAGTATCATACCTGAATCTGTGCCCGTTTGTTATTTCTCTCCAACACTGTGGCAATAAAGGTCAGAGTGGGCTCCCTTGTGAAGGCATTCACCAGCAGGTTATGGAGAATATGGTAGCAGTGTTGCTGTAGGCAGACATACATACAAATTACTGTGTGCCAACCACATATAAATTACTGTGTGCAAACATACATAGGAATTACTGTGTGCAAAACAACATATAATTACTGTGTGCAAGCATACATAGGAATTACTGTGGGCAAACATACATATGAATTACTGTGTGCCAACCACATATGAATTACTGTGTGCAAACAACATATGAATTACTGTGGGCAAACATACATACGAATTACTGTGTGCCAACCACATATGAATTACTGTGTGCAAAACAACATATGAATTACTGTGTGCAAAACAACATGAATTACTGTGTGCAAAACAACATATGAATTACTGTGTGCAAAACAACATATGAATTACTCTGTGCAAAACAACATATGGATTACTGTGTGCAAACTGCAAACCACACATGAATTACCAAATGTGTCATACACATGCAGATAACATGTGAATTAGTGTCTGTGGACAACAATATAAATTACCTTGTTGACAACATAAATTACTGTGTAAACAACACAGACAACATAAAAATTACTGTGCTTATAGAGAACATTTGCATTCCTGTGTATACAAATGTAGACAACATATGAATTACTCTGCCTGCAGAATAACATATGAACAAGTGTGTGTCTGTCCGGACAATCATGCTTGCAGTAAAAGTATTAACCTTTTTGTGTGGACAACTATACTGACAGAGTTAAGCTGATTCAAGAACCTACATCACAGCAGCATTCCAATAAGCATGGAGCTCCCTTGTTGAGGCATTTACCAGCAGGTTATGGGGAATGCAGTAGCAGTGTTGCTGTGCAGCTGGGTGCAGTCCCGGGAAGTAAAGGCGGCCGGCGTGATGGTGACCACACCACTCATCTTGTGCCGATTAGTGTATTAAGGCGGAGCCGGACTTTACCCACAAAAAAAAAGAATTTGACTACCCAGGTCGACCCAACCGTGAGTGGGTACTGGGTGCAGTCCCAGGAAGTAAAGACGGCATGATAAGAAGAACATGATAAGAAGTCTACCAATGACAGTAAATATCTACAAGATAAGAAGTCTACGACAGTACGTATCTAGAACATTATAAGTCTACGACAGTACATATCTAGAACATGATAAGAAGTCTATGACAGTACATATCTAGAACATGATAAGAAGTCTACGACAGTACATATCTAGAACATGATAAGAAGTCTACGACAGTACGTATGTAGAGCATGATAAAAAGTTTACGTCAGTAAGTATCTAGAACATGATAAGAAGTCTACGACATATCTAGAAGATGATATGAAGTCTACGACAGTACACATCTAGAACATGTTAAGAAGTCTATGACAGTGCGTATCTACAACATAATAGGAAGTCTACGACAGTACATATCTAGAACATGATAAGAAGTCTACGACAGTACACATCTAGAACATGATCATCACTGTCCATTCTATCCAGTGCAACCTCTTCTATATCAAGGATGGAATCCAGTCCAACATCTTCGGCCTCCATAGAATCCAGTCCAACATCTGGACGAAAAGTATTAAGATGTAAACCTGGATTCAGTGGCAAGACAAGTCGAGACGAAGTCAGGTGCAATAAAATCCAGTCCAACATCTTCGGCCTCCATAGAATCCAGCCTAACATCTTCGGCCTCCATAGAATCCAGTTCATCTTCAGCCTCCATAGAATCCAGTTCAACATCTTCGGCCTCCATAAAATCCAGTACAACATCTTTGGCCTCCATAAAATCCAGTACAACCTCTTCGGCCTCTATAGAATCTAGTTCAACATCTTCGGCCTCCATAGAATCCAGTCCAACATCTTCGGCCTCTATAGAATCCAGTCCAAATTCTGTGGCCTCCATAGAATCCAGTCTAACATCTGAGGTCTCCATAAAATCCAGTCCAAATTCTGCTGCCTCCATAGAATCCAGTCTAACATCTTCAGCCTCCATAGAATCCAGTCTAACATCTGCGTTCTCCATAGAATCCAGTCCAACATCTGCGTTCTCCATAGAATCCAGTCCAACATCTTCGGCCTCCATAGAATCCAGTCCAACATCTGAATTCTCCATAGAATCCAGTCCAACATCTTCAGCCTCTACAGAATCCAGTCCAACACTCTTCGGCCTCTACAGAATCCAGTCCAACATCTTCGGCCTCTACAGAATCCAGTCCAACATCTTCGGCCTCCATAAAATCCAGTCCAACATCTGTGGTATGCATAGAATCCAGTCTAACATCTCTGGCCTCCATAAAATCCAGTCCAACATCTTCAACCTCCATAAAATCCAGTCCAACATCTACAGCCTCCATAGAATCCAGTCCAAATTCTGTTGCCTCCATAGAATCCAGCCCAACATCTGCGGCCTCCATAGAATCCAGTCCAATATCTGCGGCCTCCATAGAATCCTGTCCAACATCTTCGGCCTCCATAAAATCCTGTCCAACATCTGCTTTCTCCATAAAATCCAGTCTAACAACCTCAGTCTCTACAGAATCCAGTCCAACACTTTCAGCCTCTACAGAATCCAGTCCAACATCTTCAGCCTCCATGGAATCCAGTCCAACATCTTCGACATCCATAGAATCTAATCCAACATCTTCGGCCTCGACAGAATCCAGTCCAACATCTTCGGCCATCCTAATAAACTTTAGTTAATCAAGAACAAAGAAATTCAAAGGCTGCTTACTCGAACTTCCTCGAGGATGCCCATCAGTGATTTACAAATCGTCCAGGCATTGTCTTGTGACATGTGATGAGCTGAGAAATATTCATCGACAACCTTTGCCTGTAAGACGAAAAGTTAAGAATATGTTCATAAGACAGTATGTCAATTATATAAAGTAAGTAAAGTAAAGTAAAAGTAAAGGTCCCTTTTCCACGCCTTTAGGCGTATAGGGCATATGGGGCTAGATCTATATTTTATAGACAAATCGGCACAAGATGGGTGATGTGGTCAGCATCACGCCGGCCGCCTTTACTTTGGTTTTCCCAGGACTGCACCGGGTACCTACTCAAGGCTGGGTCGACCTGGGAGCCAAGGTCATTTTTGGAAAAAGTCCGGCTCCGCCAGGGAGCGAACCCACGACCTTACGATCCGTGGCGAGCGTCTAGCACTTGGCCACGGCGACTTCCAATATAAAGAAAAATTCAAAAATATGATAACTGATGTAATGCACAAGTCAACAATATGTCAACAATATGGTGCAAGTCAAGAATATGTCAACAATATTGTAAACTTTATGCTGCTAGTGTCTACCATGGACCTTTACTTCAAACCCAGGTGTGGGTTCTGGGGTCCTGTTGTAGGGAAAATAGGAACTGACCACTGCCTACCTAAAAGCATGTCATAGGAGTCGACTGGGAACTTCCTTTGAAGTCAGAGTACATCTGTCTGAGAGGCAAGAAACCAACAGTCTGCACAGAAATGAGTCAAAGACCTGTAATACAGATGGGCATGCAACATTCAAGTACTGAAAGAGGACTATAGACCAGAACCGGAAAAACAACCAGGCAAAAGGTAGGACACTATCTTCTTCTTTGCGTTCACCTGTAAACTCCGACGGAAAATTCTGGTTGCTCATCCACTTCTGGACTTGAATCTTGTCTCAAAACTCTGTGTTCATGGCACACAGGTGTAACCCATAAGTGCTCGATTTTATTTCTAACTCAAGCCTGAGTCCCAAGAATCTCAGCACAGTGCACCAACTCTGTTGCACTGGCAAGGATTCTGAAATACTTCGGGTAGATTTTCAACTAAAAATCGTTGTGGGATGCAATTTTTTTGTTATATTGGAGTTCCACCCCGGCTGTTGCCAGGGGCCATAATATAACCTAACAGTTGAATGCGGTTTTTAGGACCTCTCCATAATTGATTCTTATCCACAGTGCCACTCTGTGTAACTGGGTGTTTATCGCTCTGCGTGATGTCCTCATCAGTTTTTGTTATGCCTAGTGGCACATGAGGCTTCAGAGAGGACTTTTCATGCTTTCCTGTCCTGTGCAATTTTCAGTGCAGTTTTCCATGTCAAAGATGCCGCACTCAGGTCACTTTCCATCGTTCGTCTCCATGTTGTTTTGGGCGCCCCCGTTCATTCTCATAACGTGGCCAAATGATGTCCTGGGGGGGTAGAACTTACTACTACTAATTTACAAGAGCCAAGAAATTTTTTACATGCGCAGCAAAACACACGGCCGTTGGTCTTACTACACAGAGACCAGGGGAAATTATTAGAGGTTCACCTGAAAAAATCTCAGCCTTCACCGGGGTTTGAACATGGCGCTCCAGCCCTCGAGGCGGATGCCGTACCTTGAGACCACTCAGCCCCTAGACAAATCTCGGTGTTGGATGTTAAGTCCCCTGTTGTCCAAGGCTGATTCTACTGCTAACCCTGGCATAAAGGTTCGACTTCATGGAAGACTTACAAACATATTCTGAAGAAAAAGGGGGAAACGAGACAAGCAGACAAAAAAGAAGGAAGATAAAGGAACACGAGTCAGAGAACATGAGATGGAGAGGAAAGAAAAGGCTAAGCTAAATAAAAAGAAATTTAAAGACAAGGTGTTGGCTATAGAAGGGAAACAGCTTGATGGCAGAGATGTACATAGGAAAGCTCCTAATGCAGTTGATTAGAAAATAAAAACAGAACACCTTAAATGATGCCAAGAATACAGCGGACAAGACAATGAAAATAGAAGAGATGAGAGAAGTGTTAATGTAACACACTTCACAGGTAAGGTACTGTAAAGAAACTTTGTCAAGAATTTCTTACTTAAGCCATATAACCAATTTGCAGGTAACAATGCAAGAAATATCACGAAAAGCACGTAAACAAACACACACAAAATGACCAGGAAAAAAAATAACACAAACATATCTACAACTTACATCATCCTCTGCAAAAACAGACAGCCCAAGAAACGGACCCAGAAGTGTGAGTTTTTCCATTTCCATACCACAAGCCTCACTGACAGGAGCAGGCAACCAGTTGGGCTGTTCCACCATCTACAGGTAATGATAATACAATTATGGATCACTTTGTGCGACTTTTCTATTCTGGCTTGTATGATGTAAATGTGCTACTGTTGTTGCTGTCTTTAATGTACTGATCTTGGTGCCTTGCAGGATGTATTGATGTTATTGTTTTTTCATATGTTGCAGCGCCGTTATAACACATAGGCCCATCAGGCGTCATAACACATAGGCCCATCAGGCGTCATAACGCATAGGTCTTAGGCCCATGTCATAACACATAGGCCCATCAGACGTCATAACGCATAGGCCCTCAGGCGCATAGGCCCATCAGGCGTCATTGATGCCCATCAGGCGTTAACACATAGGCCCATGTCATAACACATTTTCATAACACATAGGCCCATCAGGCGTCATAACACATAGGCCCATCAGGCGTCATAACACATAGGCCCATCAGGCGTCATAACACATAGGCCCATCAGGCGTCATAACACATAGGCCCATCAGGCGTCATAACACATAGGCCCATCAGGCGTCATAACACTGGCCCATCAGGCGTCATAACAACATAGGCCCATCAGGCGTCATAACACATAGGCCCATCAGGCGTCATAACACATAGGCCCATCAGGCGTCATAACACATAGGCCCATCAGGCACTTGCCAGGGAGCCCCACGAGTATAGAGGACCCTTGCTAATCTGTGTATGTGTTTAATTTTATGGACAATTTTCATTTCATTCCTGTCAGTGCTTGTCGTAGGGGCCCGGCACACCTGTTTGTCCACAGTCCTACAATGCTGTTAAAACAGCTCTGGTATGTTTACATCTTTTCCACCTTCCTTTCAACGGTGTTATTCTGTTCTTTAGGGAGGCACATAATGATGGTGAGTATGACTGAGTATGTTAAAGAAAAGTCTTCCATAATAAAAACATAGGATTTCAGGACCACTGTTGCTAACACGTGTATTTGTGCTTCTTCTCAGACACTTCAACTCTCTACCAGTACATTTATCACGTGGGGTATCCATACCCGCAAAGGAAGAATTTGTTGAGGGCTAGTGATAACTTGAAGACGTATAATTTTTGTTTTCTAAGAATGTTCGAGAGGGGGGCGCTGTCCTTTACACAGACAGGTCTGTGGTTCGTCAGGTGAGAAGCTTGTGGGTTTTTACCAATCAGGCTGGAGTTAGAATTGTCAAGCAAGATTCTAGTGCTCTCACCTTGACTACAAGTAGTCTGCAGATCCTGGCAGTGACCAATGTGATAACATGGCTGGAGATGCAAACCTTTACACACACATGTTTTTTTCTGTGACTCAATGAGTGTGGGTAATGAACAGGCAGATAGATTGGGTGGATCTGAACCACTGGGTGGTGAAGTGATGCATGACAAGGCAGATGTGGTCAAGGCCCTTTGGGAACAAGCAACGGAATCAGTAGAAAGATTATTATGGCCTGGAGAGAATGAGGCACCTGGGTGTAACCAGAGGGTCTAGCCGGCTCTCTACACTCAGAGGAAAGGCAAGACAGACATATAACCAGACTGTGACCGGTACCATCAATACTAGAACTCTGCGCTGGCTGCTGAGGATGAGGATGGAGCATGCATGGGAATGCCCAGAGTGCTGTGATATCAATTCTCAACTAAACTCAGCTCAATGAGTATACTCAGGAAGACAGAGATTGACTAGGTCTGAAGACAGTGGCTGAAGTCTCTGAGGCGGTTGGGGCTAATGCATATCAGTTTCATATTTGTGCCAGTGCATGCAGGCATTCAAGGAAATGACGAAGCTGATAGGCTTGCAGGTAAAGCTACCATGGTGGGTAGACATACCATGGACAATGCTTACATTCTAAATGCTCTATGAGAAGTGAGAAGTTTGTGAGAACCAATTAGTGACTGAATCTGCAACCATGACCAGACTGGAAGAACAGCTTGTTAAAAGGGGTCTGGCCAGACAAGAGCACTATATAGGAAGCCAAAGAAAAATAAGAAACCAACAAACGACTGGTGTTGTCAGCCGCTATACAATGCACGATTGACTGTGGAGTGGATCCGAGCACTTATGGACTGAATAGTTTGGGTCCAATGAGGATAAACAATCAACTAACTAACCTCCCAGACATTCAGCCCTAAAACTATCTGCAATAATTTTCTCCTTAATCATTCATTCATTCCTAGTTTCGTCCTGATTTTTCCCTCCATGCAACAACACAGAAGCTGTCGTCCTGTTCCTGCAAATCCACCGCAATACCCGTATCATTCATGCCCCACTTGCATACAGCTTTACATTCATAGCAACAGCCAATGTGAACATCTTCTATCCATCTGTAACTCACCATAGTGGATGTCCTTTAACCCCAGCGACCCAATCAATCCAAGTGTGTGACCTCGTTATTTGAGCACTGAGAAAACTGGGTTAGTTTTAATAGATCACGTCCTCGAGTGGGTCTGTGGCTTCTTTTTGGAGAACAGAGAATGGACTAACTGTCCAACTACAAGCATGTCATAGAAGGCAACTAATCAAGGGCGTTTCCTTCAAAGTCAGAATGTATCTGCCTGACAGGCAGCACCAGTCTGCACATTTCATTCCTTCAATCCTGTGGGTTCCAGTGGGTTCCAGTGCAATGACATTCCTAATTGTTATCAGACTTTCTCAATGCTGAGTCTTATCTAATGCCTGCATTTCTTCCTCACCTCTTCATAAACAAAAATGTTTTTCACCCCCCCCCCCCCCCCCCCATTAGCCATTTTGTCAAACCATGTAATTCTATATATACTCAACAGGCACCAATTAATTCTGTGACCAAATAAAAGTAACTTTTTTTTTTTTTAAACATGATAGAATGCTGATCAAGGCAGGTTTAAATAATATCTCACCAAATTACAAATGGGGCGAGTGTTGCCGGACGCTTTAATGCTGCAGAGTTCTGTCATGACAGTAAGAGGATCACGGTAAGTGTCAGCATTCAGGCCGAGGGTGGCAGTGTAACGGGACAGGTACTGGATAACAGGACTAAATATCTGTACGGAGTAGAGAAAATACCGTTTTACAGAGATGAATATTAGAAAAATTAAAAATACAAGTGTCATTTGAGATTAGAAAATCAGAAAAACAAATAAGTGTCATTTGAGATTAGAAAATCAGAAAAACAAATAAGTGTTATTTGAGATTAGAAAATCAGAAAAACAAATAAGTGTCATTTGAGATTAGAAAATCAGAAAAACAAATAAGTCATTTGACATTAGAAAATCAGAAAAACAAATAAGTCATTTGAGATTAGAAAATCAGAAAAACAAATAAGTGTTATTTGAGATTAGAAAATCAGAAAAACAAATAAGTGTCATTTGAGATTAGAAAATCAGAAAAACAAATAAGTGTTATTTGAGATTAGAAAATCAGAAAAAAAAATAAGTGCCATTTGAGATTAGAAAATCAGAAAAACAAGTCATTTGAGATTAGAAAATCAGAAAAACAAATAAGTCATTTGAGATTAGAAAATCAGAAAAACAAATAAGTGTTATTTGAGATTAGAAAATCAGAAAAACAAATAAGTGTCATTTGAGATTAGAAAATCAGAAAAACAAATAAGTGTCATTTGAGATTAGAAAATCAGAAAAACAAATAAGTGTTATTTGAGATTAGAAAATCAGAAAAAAAATAAGTGTCATTTGAGATTAGAAAATCAGAAAAACAAATAAGTCATTTGAGATTAGAAAATCAGAAAAACAAATAAGTGTTATTTGAGATTAGAGTATCAGAAACATTAAACACATGTGTAATTTCTTCTTTTTCGTGTTCACCAGCTGTAAACTCTGGCGGAAAGTTCTGGTTGTTTGTCCCCTTCTGGACTGCAGTCGTTTCAGAATCTGAGTGTTGTGTGTGCATCCATTTGACAAATCTGACTCATTTGTGTGCAGACTGTTGGTTCCTTGCCTCTCAGGCAGATGCACTCCGGCTTCGAGTAAGCTCACAATTAATCGACTCTTACGACATGCTTTTGGGTAGGCAGTGAGTCTATTCTTGTTTTCCCTATAACAGGGCCCAGGAACCCACACGGGGATGTAAAAGGAGTAATCAATAAACATAACCAGGGTCAAACAGTCAATTGAATACATTGCCTTGGGGCCATGGAAAAAAGCATCAGGTGACCCAGGCCGCCATAACCTCTATCACCTAGGCTTAGGAGAAAAGTCTGAGGTCAAGCCATTTAGCTCAAAGGATACACCCTCATCTCCCATCCATAATGCTAGTGTATTCATACCTTGACCTCCTAAACATTATAGCAGGTGCAAACCCAGCCAATAGCATTTACTCTGCATTTAGTAGACAGGTCGCCACAGATAAGTGAGAAAAGTGACATTTATGGGAAGCGGGACACACCCCGAAGTGTCTGTTTTTCAGCTTCTTGTGGCGAAAGGGTTAATAAAGAACATGATGATCCCACAGGCCCTAGAGTATGACTTCGTTAACCACACATGATAAACACATAACTGTTACCTTCATAAATGTCCCTCTGTCTTCATGTGTGGTATGTACAAGCTCAGACAGGAAACTCCGCGGAAGGTTGCGGGACAGAAGGAATGGTATCAGCGTTGAGTATCCTATCTGTGACCTGTCGGGAACAATTACTGATGTTATATTTTATTGTTTAGAATTAGTGACTTCTGATGTTGTTAACAGGACACTACCGAGGGCTGGGACTTGAGCTGTCCCAGTATACAGCCAACTGACAAAAGTTCAAATGACTGCCTTAACTTTTGCAACTTCTGCGGTGTAGGCAGGGGGGATCTTTGAGCCTGAGGATTTACGGCGCATGGCTAGTGCTGTCGACACGACTGCGCAGGTGAGGATTTGATTTTCCCCCTGACAGGAAAAAAATCCCCAGCCTTACTGAGGATTCGAACCTGGTTCTCCTGCTTGAGAGCCAAGCGTTCTAACCATTCATCCAATCAGCACATTACATAAATCAACAAAACCACATGCTTGGCACAAATATACAAAATTACTTAGCTGATGTATTCCCATAGCAGTCACGTTGTTGTTGGACGACCACAGAATGCAAAGAAAGACACTGACTGTCACTTACCCTGCTTGCTGTGAGAATGCTCCTTGTAGCACCAGGCAAGTGTAATGGACGCACTGACTTCTAGCTACCGAAAGAGCATCACTCAATGGAGGTATGCTAGTCCTCTAGCAGGAAAACAAAATATCATACAAAAGGCATCAATATAACAGCAGACACATCGGCATAGTAGTTAGTATCTAAACAGATTACATACTGTATCTTTTTGTCTAAACAGATTACATACTGCTTGACACCTTTCGAAACTTCATCTAAGTGTTTCAATAGCTGCAAAATTCCAGCGAACAAGTTCTTGTTGCTATTTCATTTCTGGTCTTTGGTCCCGCTCCAGAACTTGAGTGTTGCACGCACATACATCTTACAGATCTGGCTTATTTGTATGCAGACTGTTTGTTTCTCACCTCACAGGCTACTGCATTCTGACTTCAAAATATAACCTTAAATAGTCAAATCCACAACATGCTTATTGGGGGAGAGCAGTGGGTTTAGTCTTGTTTCCCCCATAATGCGGGACACAGAACTACAAAGTTCAACCAGACTGTTAGTTCCTTGCCTTTCAGTTGAAGGAAACACCCTAATTACTTGCTTCTTACATGATGCTTACTGACGGCAGCGTGTCTATTCTTTCTTTCCTTCACAATGGGGCCCTGGAACCCACAAAGAAAGGCACCTTTTAAACTGAGTGTTAAATTGTGTACAAGGAGGTATGGGAATTACGGGCAACCATGATGATGAAGAGTAAGACTATAAGACTAGTTAGACCAGCTCATCTGAATTATATGAGTCCCAAACAACGCATGATGTGTGAATCACTCTATCCGCTGAATCCCCTCCAGAGCTTATCAGCTCAGCTTTTAAAATTTAGTCAGAACACAACTCAAGAAATATGGCGTATCCAATGGTCACTACTATTGTCATATTGCTGGTTTTGAAAGTAGTGCATTGTTCACTAAAATGGGATGCAATTTTTTGTTATTTTGAAGCCCCACCCTGGCTTTTGCTGGGTACCCTAAATAAAGTCAGGCCTGAAATATGGCCTAGCGGCTGAACGGGTTTCGGGGACCTCTCCACTGGTGATCCTCATCCACAGGGTGGCACTTTGTGTCACCGGGTGTTTATCGCTTGTGTGATGTCTTGGTGGGGTACAACTTACATACATACAGTAATGCACTGATGAATTTTAAACATGGATATTTCATAACTAGCATCTTCTACGAATACTTCTGGTACTAAAAGAGTTAAGAAGTCTTCCAAAGGATGGGCTTTCAGCAGCACTGTAGCCACTGCATGTATTTAAAATGCTTCTTCTCATTTTGCTTTTATCAATCTTATACGTCTATAGACCTATATGCAATCATAAAGACAAGCTAGTTTTGTCTCTATACTAACTGATTATAAACCTAGCTACGGGGGGTCCTTTTATGCTAAATGTTAAGCTTTTCCCATCACCTCTGATGGTTTCGACTGGGTTTCGTAGTGCATCATTCAGTTCACAGGTGTAATTTTAATAGAGATCCCTAGGGATCGTTGCTACAGCTCTAGAGTCTGTGCTTTGTGTTATGCTCTCAGCAGGTGGCAAGCCTGAAACTGGGTGATGTGGAGTAAAACTCGATGAAATGAAGGTGATCCCCTCGGCTTTAAACTCTTAAACCTAGCCAACTCTGTAGTGAATCTGCCCTTCCAGTCTCTGCCCCTCCTCTCCCTGCATAGGATTATTTTGAACACACAGGCCAATCTAACATTCTGCCCTTCCAGTCTCTCTCCTTGCATAGTGATTTATTCATGGACACACAGGCCAATCTAACATTCTGCCCTTCCAGTCTCTCTCCTTGCATAGTGATTTATTGCATAGGCCCTTCCAGTCTCTCTCCTTTGCAGTATAGGCCAATCTAAAGCTCTCCCATATAGTCTCACTGCCTCGTTATTTGCGAGTGCTACAATGAGGCATAGGAATAAAAGCCCATAGTGATAGCCTAGGCAGTATTGTAGACAGCAGGTACTGCCCATGCATCATGATCCCTCTGTCTTCTTGCCTTGTCTACTGTTGGGAACAAAGCAAGCTGTAGAAGCTGCTGGAACAGGAGAGCAGTGAGTGCTCTATTTTTTCTTTTTTTCTTTCTATCTATCTATCTATCTATCTATCTATCTATCTATCTATCTATCTATCTATCTATCTATCTATCTATCTATCTATCTATCTATCTATCAAATCTATCTATCTATCAGAGACCACCCTTTCTTTCATCTGGATGAAAAGTATGAAGATGTACATCTGGATCCAGTGGCAATACAAGTCTAGACAAATGGAGATAAATTCAAGTGCAGTTGGATGACCAGGGAGTCACCGTGCTATTTGCACTCCAAAACACGTTGCTGGTACTGGCTGCCAGATCCACTGAACCAGTACCAAATTCCTCCACACATTCAGCCGAGTCCAGTCTTTGCATGCTGGGATAGGCAGATCCTGACTCATCAAAGGCTACTAATCATTCAGCTACCCTCCCTAGCTTAGCTGGCTGCATATCAAATATCTAGACACGAAATAATGTACACAAGAAAGATCATCAGGTTCCTGTTACCTTTGGTGCATTCTTCTCCTCGACTGCCACACGATCGTAGCAATCCATCAGGTACTTGAGAATACTCAGCTGTGTAGAGGGCACCACTGTAATCTTTGAACTGAACTCCCGATAACTGTGATACCTTGTTCCTCGCCAGCAACTGCAGACAATTTGGACAGCAGAAAACAAAGTCAGCAAAGTAATTATTGTGTCTGATTCTCAGTCGGCACTGCAGAAGGACTAATGTGGCATGAGTGGATACCATGCATCAGTACGCCAACATTGCAGGGAATCACGTGGATATACTGTCCGGAATATGCAGGAGTAGGAGGGAACAAAAGAGCAGATTTTCTGGCTACAAAAGCGATAGCTAGGGGGAACATTCATACTGGACAAGGGAGATACTATATATGAACAAATGTTGGCAGAAGACATGAGATTAGATTAAATAACACATGTAAGAAATGTGAACGAGGAATTAAGAATGGATCTGGCAAAAAAGGACGTATGAGAGGAAGAGAACGATGTGTTAATCAATGTACTATGGAACAGTTAGCATTTACACCTTAAGACATTTGCTGTGGGAGACGGAGCCCCCATGGGTATGTCCGGTACGCTACGATGTTGATTATTAAATCAGTAATCAGCAGACATTCACATGGGATAGCCAATAATAATACACGTCGAGATTAATTCAGCAGCTAGTTTTCAAAAAAATATTCAAACATTTTTTTAAATTAATAAAAAGCAGGGTACAGGCAAACACTACCTTCACCGCCTCTACTAATCATTTCTAGGGTGGATAAGGGCAAGGGAATCGCGAGGCTGAGTATTTAAGGCAGCTTGATATGAACTAGGCAGATAAGATTTTAAAAAAAAACAACCTTTAGACAAACAGAAGAATTTAACTCTTTGAGTCCCAGGGGGTTTAGCATCACAGGCCCAGGGGGTAGTAAAGAGAGTAATAAAATCGGCGCATCATGCGTTCATTGGGCTTCTAGGTAGGAACCTATAAACGTATCATGCGTTCCTTGGGACTCAAAGAGTTAAGTATCGGGGAGCAATTTTCACATCCGACAGAAAACTGGACAGAGAAATTAGCTCAAGATTTGCCAAAGCTAATCAAGTAATGGTGCAACTTTCTCCCCTGTTGACACACAAGCAGATACCCTGGAGCACTAAAGTAAATTTTATCAGAACTATACAATGAACGTAAAATTGCGACAACAGAGAGGAAAGGCTTAGAAGAGCAGCAGGAGTTTTAAGGAAAGACAGAATACGAATTCAGACGAATGCTAGGAATAAAAGCAGTTTTACAAGTCATCAAAAAACAATAAATGAAGTGGTTTAGACACCTAACAAGAATGCCCTGGTACTATCTGCCACAGCGAGCCGCACTACAACGTTACAACGGGTATAGAGCGAGTGGAAGACCTCGGAAAAGATGGAGTGATGGCATTAAGAACATCCTTACAGAAATGAACATCGGTATTAATAGTGCTCTTGACAAAACTCATCAACGAGTGTTACATCTCCCCCGACACTCCGCTGAGGTACAAGGTGGAAGAGAAGAAGAAGAAGAAGAATCTTAAATTTTGTTTGTCAACAGAAAAAAAAAATACATTTTTGAAAAAATCCATCCCATATCTAGGATTGAACCCTGGTCTCCCAGCCCTCAAACCATTCGACCAACTAGGCCTCAAACGAATACAAAAATACATTTAATACTGCAAAATACAAAAGTGGACCCAGAAGTCTCATACACATATGTATGTGTGAATGTGTATGTATGAGTGTTTTTATATGCACATGTCTTGAGTGTGTGTGTATGGGTGTTTGTATGTAAGTATATGGTGTATATATGTATGAGTATGTGTGTATGAGTAAGTGCGTATGTAGACTGTATATGTGTAAGCCTGAGTGAGTATGCATGTGTACGATTTTGGTATGAATTAGTGTACGTATGTGTTTATGAATGTGTCAGTAAACCTGAATGCATACATTTGGCACCCAGGTCTTTGTATTTTTACCATATACTCATATTATGTAATTTGTTATATGGACATAACATGTTTTGTTGACACACATTCTCTGTGACAGTGTGAAAGATGAGCATTTGAAAGGGCTGAATGTAAGATGGGCCTGTGTGCCCAATTGTAACACTTTATCCTGTGTAGGTTCCGGACCCCCAATTTCGATGGTAAAAGAGACTCCTCCCCACCCCCCCACCAAGCATGTCATAAAAGACAACTAATTAACAGTTTTCCCTCAAAGTCGGAGTGCATCTGCCCGAGAGGTGAGGAACCAGAAGTCTGCATACAAGTAAGTCAGACCTGCAAAACGGATATACGTGCAAAAACAAATTCTGGAACAAAAGTCCACAAGTGGATAAAAAACCAACACAAAGAATAAGAAGAAAAGTAACCCAGTTAAGAAATAGTTTGTGCATTCATTTATTCATGTTAAGTTGAAACCCTCACCAAAGCAGATGTTTAATTTCTTTTTTTTTTTAAAAAATTCACCAGCGGTCCTAGGTTGACCCAGCTTTACATGGGTACCAGAAGTGGCCTGGAAGGTCAAGGTGGTCAGCAAGGTGCTGGCCCCATCACCTACTGGGAGCCGAATGGTTCGCATAATTATAAGCATTTCAAAGACTTAAACCTTACCCAAGGATATTTGATGAGCTCTCTAGGTCAGCCGGAGGCGGTGCATCTTGTGTGGGGGTGTTATCTTGTATTACCAGCACGGCCTCCATGATCATCTGGTTGATGAGGTCACGAAGGTCGTGTAACTCTGGAGAGATACAAACAGATGGTAGCTTTATTTAGACTGCCCTTGCAATCATCTTATTTAAAAATCCGGTAAGATTTGCCCGGACAACAAATGACTGTAAGTCGGATGTGTCTGCAAAAAGGTGCAAATATCAAAGCCATGTTAACATGGACAGTGTATGTACATCTTTGGATGAAAGCAGAAGGTGATGATTCTATTTAAAATTGTTTCCCCTCTTTCAGAGTAACAAACAAGGACTGTTTGAAAGACACTGATGAAAGTAGATCTCTATATATAACTAGAAGAAGGAGACTAACACTGTTCATTGGCTACGTAATGAGAAGAGAGGCTTTGGAAAACATCGTGACAACTGGAAAGAGTGGAAAAAGAGGTAAAGGCAGACACAGACAGATGATGCTGGATGGGCTGAAACCATGGCAGGGAGGGATATCATCAAGAGAGCTGTTCCAGGCATCCAAGGATCGTGATCTGTGGAGATGCTTGAGCAACTACGCCAGTTGGCAAGGCACATGATGATGATGATGCCCCCCCCCCACCCTTTGCTTAATCCACTGCTCCAGCCTCCTAAAAATCTACTTCATGAATGGCAGCACCATCCATCCAGCTATTTCCTACAATAGTAAATCACTCACCCAGTCATCAATTTCAAGGTTCGACAATAACTAAATAAATCTCCAACGATGTTAAACCACTCTCAAATCGGAACCTACATGGGGACTATTTAGTTCAACCAGCAAACAAATCTTCTCCCAAAAACATAATCAAATCATCTCTTACAAACATATTAACTGAATGTTTTAGACATGGAATAGATCGAGAAAGGTAAAGTAGTGAAGGCAGCGACCATTTTTCACAACCTTTAGGCATAGCAGGCTTACGGGCTAGACTATATTTAGACCAACTGGCATTCAGTGGGTTGGTTAGTTAGTCGCCAGATTTTCCTCACTGCACATTGAACCATTCAGAGCAACTTCTCAGTAAATCCTACAGCATGTAGTGCAGCTTCCTTCATAGTGCTCTTGTCTGGCCAGACACCTTTTAAACATTTTTTTAAACTCACTCAATGGGTGAGGGATCAATATTACGCCAGCCGCATTTACTTCCAAGGACTCTGCCGGGTACCTTTTTATGACCGGTTCAACCTTGAAAAAAGTCCAGCTCGCTCGGATCTTGAACCCACAACCTTTGGATACGCAGGAAGGTCTAGCCGCTACACCACGACAGCCCCCAGGTAAAGTAGTAAAGGACTGCGAAGAAGAAGAAGAATCTGTACGGCTGATGTTCAATAGCAGACAAATGCAACAACTCAACAACAACAAAACGGTGCTTTATTAATATCCTACCCCAAACTGGAAAAATCCACATGTCACTGGACAGTCTATTATTTCAGGGGATGGTAGATAGGCTGCATGAAGTTGTGGGACCTAGGCTGCACTCTCTCGTGGGACGTAGGTGCGTTGGGGTTAGGGCCAGTTCTAGATGTTTTGGGGTCATTAAGAGCATCAGAAAGTCGGGAAACCAATCTTACCACCCTCTAAAATGTTGGACTGTCCTGTGACATCATCTGGGGTAGCATATTTTTAAAGTACACACAAAAAAAAAAAAAACAATAACAAACAACAGAAACAATGAAAAAACAAAATCACTACTGACTTGTGGATGATGCCGCAGCGACTAGGGACAGTTCCCTGAGATGTAAAACACTGTAAGCTTTGCTGCACTCCTCTGACCAAGACACGGCAAAAACCCGACACAACGCTTTCTTCACCTGATCCTCTGTGGCTTCTGATCCAATACTCACATTCTGTGGCAGCAAAATGTGAAACACATGCAAAAATTGTGGGGGATTACATCAATCAATCAGGTACACATGTTGTAAAAAATAAAGTAAAGGACCCCTTTACACGCCATTAGGTGTATAGGGCATATAGGGCTAGACCAATCAGCACAAGATGGGTGATGTGGTCAGCATCATGTCGGCCGCCTCTACTTCCCGGGACTGCACCCGGTACCCACTCAAGGCTGGGTCGACCTAAGAGACACATGTTGTGAGGAGTATCTTATTCTGAGTATCTTCTCCTTCTTTGTTCACCGGCTGTAAGCTCCAGCAGAAAGTCCTGGTAGTTCGCCCATTTAGACTTTGGCTTTGCCCCAGGGTCTCAGTTTTGTGTATACATCTGTTTTACTGGCTTTTTTGTGTGCAGCTGGTTGTTCCTTGCCGCTCGGGCAGATTCACTCTGACTTCGAAGGAAGTCCCCAATTATTCTACGCCTATGGCGTGTTTGTTGGGGAGTCAGTAGGTCTATTCTTGTTCTCCCCAAAATAGGCAGTGGGCAGTATAAACATGAAATACAAAATGCTAAGAATACAAATAAGCAAAAAATGGAGAATATATTCATCAAATATAAATTTTTTCTGCAATTGAGCAGCAGATTATCTTGTGATTTCGACAGGGAATTTGAGACTCAATCATGTGAAAAGCAATGGCAAACTACTGAAAGTAAAATTACTTAGCAAAACCAAAACAGCCAGCAAATGCTGCGGTAGGTTCTGCAATGTCCTCCAAAAGATATACAACATACGTTAACACCCAGTGTGTGGAGTTGGCACCTCTCCATCTTTCCAGATGATAGTGTTATTTCATGCTATGAGGAGGCATGGGACTCACTGCCAATGGCGATGGTGAGTGTGAATAGCAAGACCCACCCGCGTTAAGAAAAGTCTTCCACAATTATAGCATGGGATTTCAGGACCGTAGTTGTCAACATTTGTGTTTAGTGTGTTTTTTCTCAGACTCCCAGGTCTCATCCTTTCTGCAAACAATTCTTCCTTCATTCTCATTCCCTTCCTGATGTGTCCCCTCCACACAATGCAGTGTCTTGAATTTTGTTTCGAGTCCACCTCAATACTTGTACCATTCAAGTCCCACTAGCACACATCATTATATCACAATAGAGGTCGGCCTTGACATCTTCCACCCATCTGTAATTCACCATAGCGGATGTCCTTAGGGACTCTACCATCCTCAAATCTCCACGTGTGACCCAGCCATCTCAGCCTTCGTAGACTGAGCACTGAGAAGACTGTTGTAGTCCCTGCTCTTTCCAATATCTCAGTGCTTGTGATTTTGTCTGGCCCATTAATGCCAAGTAAATTTTTAGGCATTATAAATGCCGTTTCTCATGGTGCGAAAAAGTTTACCCAAGTTTCATTACCATAAAGCAGAGTGCTGAAAACACAAGCCTGATAGACAAGCGGTTTTGGTTTAATCATGAGCTTTCTGTTCTCCCAAACACTTTTTGTTAATCTGTTTATTGCAGTTGCTGCCTCACCTATCCTAAAGTTGATTTCATGGTCCAGCAAATAAATTTTTTTTTTATTAGTGTGAGGAGTGTTACCATGAAAAACACACAATGTGGGTAGTATAACAATCAAATCCACCTTCTTCTTGACTTTAATCATCTGCTCTTATGACCAAAAATGATAAATAACAAAGGTAATTTCAGACTGTATTTTGTTAAATCTAGTACCCACAACAATTAAAAAAAAAAAAAGTTTTTAGGTTATGTACAATAATTATAAGCACATAGTTTTAATTTCTGTTTTTTTTCGTATATATTATATAATAATCAGTTTGAATAGAAACAGTGTTGAAAAATACCCATCTGACTTACGAGCAGGCAGTCGGAACAGAACATGGAAATAAGTCGAGGAGAACCTGTTCGCCCAATGTGCGAGGTATAACCCCAGACCCTGTTCGCCCAATGTGTGAGGTATAACCCCAGACCCTGTTCACCCAAAGTGTGAGATATAACCCCAGACCCTGTTCACCCAATGAGTGAGGTATAACCCCAGACCCTGTTCACCCAATGTGTGAGGTATAACCCCAGACCCTGTTCGCCCAATGTGTGAGATATAACCCCAGACCCTGTTCGCCCAATGTGTGAGATATAACCCCAGACTCTGTTCACCCAAAGTGTGAGATATAACCCCAGACTCTGTTCACCCAAAGTGTGAGATATAACCCCAGACCCTGTTCGCCCAATGTGTGAGGTATAACCCCAGACCCTGTTCACCCAATGTGTGAGGTATAACCCCAGACCCTGTTCACCCAATGTGTGAGATATAACCCCAGACCCTGTTCGCCCAATGTGTGAGATATAACCCCAGACCCTGTTCACCCAATGTGTGAGGTATAACCCCAGACCCTGTTCGCCCAATGTGTGAGATATAACCCCAGACCCTGTTCGCCCAATGTGTGAGATATAACCCCAGACCCTGTTCGCCCAATGTGTGAGATATAACCCCAGACTCTGTTCACCCATAGTGTGAGATATAACCCCAGACCCTGTTCACCCAATGTGTGAGGTATAACCCCAGACCCTGTTCGCCCAATGTGTGAGATATAACCCCAGACCCTGTTCGCCCAATGTGTGAGATATAACCCCAGACCCTGTTCACCCAAAGTGTGAGATATAACCCCAGACCCTGTTCGCCCAATGTGTGAGATATAACCCCAGACCCTGTTCGCCCAATGTGTGAGATATAACCCCAGACTCTGTTCCCCCAAAGTGTGAGATATAACCCCAGACTCTGTTCACCCAATGTGTGAGATATAACCCCAGACTCTGTTCACCCAATGTGTGAGATATAACCCCAGACTCTGTTCACCCAAAGTGTGAGATATAACCCCAGACCCTGTTCGCCCAATGTGTGAGGTATAACCCCAGACCCTGTTCACCTAATGTGTGAGGTATAACCCCAGACCCTGTTCACCCAATGTGTGAGGTATAACCCCAAAAACACACAGAATGGAGGAGTGTAACCAACCAAAAGCAAAAATGCGGGAGCAAAGGAGTAAGACATTGCTGCTGATGTGATGCGCAATTTGTAGACAAATGAACAAAAACTGAAATACCCTCTTTCTCTTTGGCTCTGGGTCATCAACCTCCATCGTCTCAATCCCCGAGTCCACGTCCAGTTGCGATAAACTGTGGAAAGAGAAATCACAGTGGAGAAGACTACCCAGATGTTTGATACATATAGTCTATGTCAGTGATTCCCAAACTGTGCGCCACAGGAACCTGCGACATCTTCACAGGGGTGCCGTGAAATATTCAAAGATACACAAGTTTTGTTTTTTAATCTCTTACATATGAATAGTCGTACTTAGGTTGGGGCGTTATAGAAAAATTTTTTTTGTTAAAAAAATGGCGCCGCGAATAAGGAAAGTTTGGGAAATACTTGTCTGTTATAAATTTAAAATTTTTAATTCTAATGTCAAATCGGTACTTCTGTATTTAGCGGAAATATGGAGAACAACTAAGGCAATACGCTTAAACCACTATTATTTGTTCTATACACAAACACCTACAACAAAATTCTATGTTCTAATCACATAACCCTAGATCAATATTCTTTGTTCTACACACATGTGCATACCTCAATTTTCTACACTATATACAAAGACGCCTACCTCAAATGTCTATGTTCTCTACACACATGCAAATCTCAATATTCTATGGTCTATACCTATATGAATACACCGATATTCTATTAGTTTTACACACATGCCTACAACCCCTATTATTTGCCTTCACTAAAATTATATTTCATAATCTATACATGTAACTTAAATATGTAAATGTTTTATGCACTATTACACTTAAATGTTTACTGTGTGGGTGTGCACTTGTGCATGGATGGGTGAATCTGTAGGTGAGTGGTGTGTATTGATTTTACAATCTGTGTACAGGCACCAAAATTTAAGTTCATCACCATATACCTGATTCTCCCTGTGTGGGTTCCTGGGCCCCACTGTGAGGGAAAACAAGAATAGATGCACTGCTTCCCCAGCAAGCTTGTGGTAGGAACTGACTAACTGGGGAGGGGGGGGGGGGGGGGGGGGGGGGGGGGGGGGGGAAGAGGAGGCTTTCTTTTAAAGTCAGAGTGCATCTGCCTGAAAGGCAAGGACCCAAAAGTCTGCATACAAATAAGTCAGATCTGTAAAACAGATGTGCATGCAACACTCAGCTTCTGAAACAAGTCTACCAGAAATGGCTGAACAACCAGAACTTTCTGCTAGAGTTTACAACTGGTGAAGGCCAAGAAGATATGCTTGATGCATCGGCGTGAAAAGTATCCTTCATCTATTACTTAGCCACCAACTGTCATTGTGTCCACAGTGATCTGATGATGATGACGGCAACTCACCCTTTGTCAAACTGTGATTCCCCAGTGATATCTGAACTTGCCTCCACATCCATGGCTTCTGAAACCAAAAGCAGAACCGTGTTACACTTGGGAAGGGAATTAAAACACCGTATCAGCTGCCATCTCAACAGTGATGGATGCTACAGACAGGGCTTTTATCCTGGTATCAACGTAAAAAATAAAGGGAGGGGACGGGGCCATAGAGGCAAAGAAAGCAATGTAGACCTAAAAACACACACAAGAAAATTAATAAACGGTAAAGCCAAAAAGATGTTGAAAACATAGATTTAACTAAATGTGATAGAAAATTATATAGTACAACTAGGTGCAAGCTGGTTGGGGGCCTATGCTTCTTCAAGGGGATAATGTGCAGTAGAAGAAGAAGTCAGCAGCATTAAAGAAAGAAATGCCTTTTTAAAAAAAAATGTGCCGGTATAGGGCAACACCACTTTAAAAAAAGCCCCAGCTTTATAAGGGAAAAATCCAGCACTTTCTGAGCCTCTGGTCGCTATGTTTCCGCCCCCAGACAACTGACACACTATGCAGCCTGGAACATATATTAAAGCTACTGTACGAGAATGGCAAAAAATT